AAACATGGCTGAATTTCTTCTCGTTTCAAGCAATTATATTTTCTGAAGAGTATACAGTATAGTGGTTTCTGAGCTCAACAAAATGCCATCTCAATTGCTATCCGCATATAACTTAAGTTACACCCTTCGTCCAGCTCTTGAAGAAAAATGTAAATTGACTGCATGTTCTAGCATCCCGTACAAGAGGATAACTAAACGATTTTAAGCTGCTTGGGACTTTATTCCCTTTAGAAAATGTATACGATTTGACACAGAAATAACCGAACTTTACAAAATGATAACGGGGGAATTCGGTCGCTCGGGTGTTCTTTTTTTATGATGATCAGCTAAAATTTGCAGGAAGCCCCGCAGTGTTTTTCAGTTGGAAGATAAAAAACCCACCTCCTTCTTTCCATGTTGGACGGGAAGTGAACATCTGGGGATCAGACTCCTCGCATCCGTTGTCGACCCAAGCTGCGCTGGAGTGTATGTTGTGTCAGTGCTGCTGCATGCAAGACTGATCATAGATGATGAAGGTGTCATTCCACCGTGAGAAGAACGGTATTCTCTCATCACGGGTCAAAATGGGACCATACTTTTTTTCTCTTGTCCTTGATGAGACTTCCATGGAAAACAGGTGACACACGCACACAGGCCACCTTATTTTTCTGAGGTTCGCGACCTAGTTCCAAAATCCACCGATTTCGGAGCTCAGTAGATTTAGACTCGAACATAATGTGACTGACATGATTTTGCTTCATGCTACTGGAATAAGTGCAAGTCATATTCCAAGTTCTCTCTGTTTAGCAGATTTGTTCATTGGAATGTATAGCGTGGATTCACGGTCGCCAAAAATTATACATACCGTCAAAACTTGGAAAGCCTTGAAAATAACGGGCTGGCTGTTTCAAGGGGTTGGTTTTTTTAAATTTAAAATATGGCAATATGAAAATTATTTTCAAAGAAATTCTAAATAAAATTCGTATTCTTTAGAAAACAATCAAAATGTCCCTGGGAAGCATAAATTACAGCTAGCTAAGCGATGAGTAAATTTTAAATCTTGATTTGTGCTTTCGTTTTTTTATTAGAGCCCATTCAAATAAGAAACTTGATACACGTTGGTGGGGTATCAAAGACAAAATCAATGGGAAGGAGCACATTTGATTTTTCAATGATTTGACAGATGGGCGGGTTTCACTTTTTATACGTTCAACGGATTGATCCAAAAATTCACTTCAACTGGAGAGCATAGGCTTTCAATTCTCTGGGAATGAAGTCATGCATAGAATTACATGCTCTGCACCTTTACATCATATGGACTCTTATTTTAAATTAGGTGATGTGAAATATGTGTTTATAATTGGTTGAAAGTCCCTCAGTCCATTTAGCAATGCAAACAGTCAGTGCAAACTGCAAAGTGAGGGGACAATTGCGCATCAGAAGATTCATTAACAAAAATTTAAGTACTTCATATACAGGGTGGGAGAAAAACGAACATTTTGCAATGATATCTCTATCAAAAATTGAGCTACAACATGAAAAGGACACCAAATGAAAGTGTATTCAATGCCCTCTCAAATGGTTTTCTGTGTTATAGTCCTAATTGTCACCAAATGGTCGCAAAACTCATTTGAATGAAAACTTTCAACAACAAAAAGTTGTGACCTGACTCTTCCTAATGCGCTGCTGTCTCCAAAAGCTCCCAAAAATTACCTGAAAATGTGGGCAACCCATATCAGTGCACCAAAAACAAAATCGAAGATAAATGCCAAAAATAAAATAAATAAGCCATGAAAATCCACCTTGGCAAAAACCAGCAGTAACATATAAATCATTGATGCCCATGCAGAGAAAACCCCAGGATTCAGGAGATACGCCACCAGAAAGTCACCCAATCACTGCACTGAACATTCATTGGAAACTGAGCCAGATATAAATCATGCATGGGTGGGGTGGACAAAGCAATACCTAAATATAATTGTATGGTCCAGAGAGAAAAAATTCTTACTGAGAGCAGCAGTGAAATATCCAACTCATCAACTTTTACTGGTCACTCCTACCTTTTCCTTTGAAATGTCCGAGATGAGTGCCCACTGTGGAAGGTATATTATGGATTTGCTGGTTGAATTTCCTAGCACTCCACTTATCCATAAAAACAGCCTTGGAGAACACAATCTATGAGGGAAACAGCTATGCAAAAATACACAGCCCCCCCCCCCCCCCCCCCCCCCCCCCCCCCCAAATCTATGAGGGAAACAGCTATGCAAAAAAACACCCCCCCCCCCCCCCCCGTGAGCCCCACAATAAAAACACCAAAAATAGCCTTCAGGGAAATGCCTCAGAAGTCACCACAGAGATGGACTCTTATTCTCTCTGAACCATGTCCGGATTTTCAGGAATTGCTTTGTCTACCCATGGGTGATTTTTCTGGCTCATCTTCCAACGAATATTCATTGAGCCTATTTGGTGGTTGTCTGGTAAGGTGATTTCCTGCACCGTGAATTTTTGTCTGCATGTGCATACTGATTTTTGTAATTATTGCTGGTTTTTGCGTGTGTAGATTTTGATGGCCTTATTTATTTTCCTGTCTGTATTTATCTTGGATTTTGTTTCTGGTGCACTGATGTGGGTTGTCCTCATTGTAAGGTATTTTTTGGCTCGTTCTGGATATACAGCAGCTCACCAGGAAGAGTTGTGTGACAACATTTTTTTTAAATTTGTCATTCAAATGGTTTTTGTTTCCATTTGATGACACTTACGACTGCTAAACAAGAAATCCGCTTGAAAGATAATTGAGTAAACTTTCATTTGGTGTTTTTTCTCATTGATGCATCTTAAAATTTTGACAAAGATATCCTAATTCGAAAAATTGGTTCAATTTTTTTGCCCTCCCTGTGTAAATATCAATACAATAAACCACAACTTTGGTGCACTCATTGTTTTGATTCTGGTTTCTCTGGCAACTTTTTTTTTTTTTTAAAGATTTGATCAACTGAATATCATGATGCGTAAACTCTCAATAATCTGAATTATTTTTTTGCGATTTTGAATGCCTTTTTTTGCAGAAACACTTAGCACTGTGGATACTTTTTCGAAATTGGTTGAAGGTTTCTGAGCTAAATCGAAGTTCAAAGTATTTCTTCTCATCATCAATTTATCGCCATCTTCTTCAATTTCTAATTTTTTGAGGGGAGTGAAGTTGTGAATCCCATACGCATTTCCTCGAAATTTAAACAGTGTATTCCACAATAAATCGATGAATAAAAACACAAGGCATGCGGAATTGTGAAAAATGGGGGCCAGCAATAAGACGAATGAGAACGGCGCATCTCGCGTGCTCCAGTCGCTTCGAGGGTGCGCACCTCAAATCCAAGGGTTTTCGATTTCCGATTCCACCTCTTCAGCCTCGGAAGTGTGTGGACATTTATCAAGGCGCCACCATGAGGTTTACTGAACGCATAAAAACCTATTTGTTTTCCTGTCGAACACGTTGTTCTTCCTTCCCCGTTCATTTGGTTAAGTGGACGCTCTTCGATGCCTGCAACGACGATGCACGTCATAATGGAATACAGCACAGAATTTGTATTCAAATGGGTTTTCATTTAAGCCTATACGCCTATATGAGACTTGACAGGAACGATGTAAACTGAAATAAATTTGGTGAAAGATCTTCGAAAGATTAAAAACGCCTTTCTTCAACCTCGGAGTCTGAGGTACCATTTTTTTTATTATTCTGACATTCAAGAGGCTGAGCATTAAATATTCTAGCCTACCTACAGTATATAAAAGTAAATGGCCTCTTTTAAATATATCGCTCAAATAAATGAATCCACAACAATGAATAAAATGTATGATAACCAGTCGCATCAGAAACAGTTGAATAGTTTCCGAAATTCGTTTAAAAAAATTTATATGCATTCCATCAGGAGTGTATATCCGAATAAATGCAGATGACACACACTCTGAACTGGAAAATTGAGTTCAATAACATAAAGGCATTACTGAATTATTGGAACTAACACGAAGACGACGGCAGGACTGTACTTCAACAAACCTCAGTCGATCGAGTAAATGGAAAAGTGGATTCGGTTAAATTGTTATAAAGATTCCAGTTTGCAGTTATGAGTTTTGAGCTTTGCGCCTGAGAAAATTACTCCCGAAATATAGACTTTTTTTCTTACGCACGTCAGAGGCAATATTGCGGGTGTATTGTCAATTAGTACACACCAAAAATGGAGACATATTTTTTAGCAAGGACGAATAGACGTGATCATATGACTTCGAAGTCAATCCACTAAATGCATAACATTTCGCGGACTCTGAAAACTCTCTTCAAATCATGTTTCCAAGAAGACAATTTTGAACTCATTACTCGGTGTCTCTCATCCCATGGTATATTGTTCTCTGATACAGTAATATGTGAGAGCTAAGAGCTTGGGGCAGGAGCTTCTTAGTATTAGGGACGTCGTTTTCGCATAACTAGAAAGTAGGAGTACTAGGACGTGGGAGTAGTCCTTTTTTCTCCTTAAAAAGTCAAGGTATAAAAGTACTGCACCCCTGAACGTTTTGAACCTCGATCAATCAGCACCATCTGGCGAAAGAAGCCCCCTGCTGTTGATCCCCCACAAGTCCTTTTCATCTCAGTCGAATATATACAGTATGAACATCCTGGAGTGCATATAGACTCTCTCGTCGTCTGGAGTCAGTGTAAAATACACGGATCATACGCGAGAATCGCATGAAATTCTGAGGCGGATTGAATTTCTCTCCTCTTCCCAACGTAACTCATCTTTCTGTGATGATGACGACGGGCTCTTGGTTGACCGATCGCATCGCTGGAGTATCGAGATTTTTTGTCACTATCATCTCAGCCAAAGTTTTGGCAGCACCGCTGTGTAGAAACCCAGAAAGTAGCCGCCATTCGACCACGGTATTTTGTCTAGTTTTTGAGCGCTTCAAAAGAAAGGACGGGACGCACGTGAGTTTAAAGAGAGCGCCTAGCAAATTAGAAGGAGAGTTGGCAGTTCAGGGTCTTGACAGGTCTCGTCACCGAAAACTCATTCACGCAGAACAGGAGATCTGCGGGAAAGAGAAAATTTCGCGAGGCAATGGCTCATAACAGCGTCAAAAGTCTTCCACCGGCTTCATCCAGTTAGTACTAGCGAGAATCACGTCGGTTCTTGACTTTTCTTCGAAAATTGTCATGGTATACGTTATGGAGAAAAAGCTTCCAGGCCTCTGTGAAGGTCTTTGATCAAGGATTACGGTCTGGACTCTGACTAGGTCATTGTTCCCTCAATTTTTTCTTCAACTGATTCAATTAGTTTCATTCAGATTTGAAACTGTTTCAATCAGTATTTTATAACTCAATGAGGACATTTGGAGCATGAATTACTGTACCTCTGTATGGTACTTTGAAATGCTGGCATTTGCTGTAAAAAATAAAATTCAAGTCAAAAATTTAGTAGTAAGTCCTTCTGCTGTGCAGGAGGTACTCTTCTTAAAATTAGCTAAAAACTGGATGGTGAAATGATTAGAGGAATACCAAAGAACTTTTCTCAAATAGATGTTAGGGTTGGAAATATCTGTTTCTTGTAATTTGGGAAAACATATTCGCAACTTTAGCACAAAATGTCCACATGTTCAGTCAGTGTCTGACTGTCTGCTTATCAGGCCTTTTTTTTTTTCATGAGAAAATAAGTCTTCATATGTTGAGTTGTCTGTATGTTGAGGTGTCCAGGTGTGGGGGTTGCATTGCATTAGTGTTGAAAATGAAAGATTTGGGATTACATATACTTTATACCTGAGCTCCCTTCGGTTTTTAGCTCTTGCTCCTATGAGTTCCAAGGGTATACTGTATTCTCCAGAGAAAAGTGAAGCCAAAACTCTGTTTTGCGTTACATGAAATTATTATAGAAGTGTTCATCTGCCATTCCATCACTACAAATCCAATGGAATTATTTCACAGAAGCATTGAAGATGTGATTCGGTCAACTGTGTGAAGCAATATACAGTAAAATAAAATTACATTATAACCAATCTTTTCATGATGAATTTTTCCACAAAACAATTTTTTCTTGAAAAGCCAATTTTGATTTCAAATCTATGCATAAAGAATTTTCTCTGTGGGTATGTGTGCGTGTGCCATATAAAATTCTTAACATTAGCACAATGTGGGAAATCTCACCTACTGTGCATGACTAAAAACATTCAAAAACTCTAAATGCTGATATATTACCAGATACTTGAAATCAAGCATAATAAGTGCTCTCAACTTTTTTTGTTTCAGCTTATTCTTGAATGAGATCAGCTTAATTTTAGGAAACTGAATATAATGGAGGGTCTGGATTACGATTATGTTTCATTCTTAAATATATTTCTTCCGGGAGTTCTGCAAATCATTCTTTACCCATTCGCAATGAAATGACAATGGTATGCATGATCAACAAACCAAGAATTTCATCATAATTTTGTTCGTGAAAATTCGAATTCTACCCCAAGTCTTCCGCGTAGTTTGTTGTAACAAGATTTTACAGTACATAAAAATGGTGTCAGCCACCTTTGCGCATGCATAAGACTAATTTATCCTGTCAGCCATGCACATGTTGAATGACAAAAGCAAAATTCGAAGCATTCAAGGACGAGCTGTCAGTTGCCGCAATGAGTCAGGCGATTTCCCGAATATTCTACAGCTGCGCAGGCCTCGATATCATCAGCATCAGAGACTGATGACGAGACTCAGGACAAGCAAAGCTCTGCCTTTGTCACGTTCGATGCCATCTTTTTCTCGGAGAATCGAGACTCGGAGCCCTGCTTTTCACATGATTCCTGCAGCAAAATGCCAGCTGGAGATCTTGCACAATTCAACTGCCATGAGGATGAAGACTACTTCGCAGATGATGACCGAATCTTGGGCCTGGATGACATGCATTCCGTTGACCGCAGGTGAGTTTCATACACTGTACTGTAGCTGCTTATGCATTGCAAAATCAATTGATATTCCTCCTCAATCGCAAGCTGTGGAGGCAAAAGAGTAGAGAAGAAAAAAAGGAATAATGTCATTGAGAAATAAATAAAAACAAATCAATATCAGAAGAATGAAAAAGTGGTCTGGAGGGGATTATTAAAAAAACATTCCCTGAGTTGTAAAGTACTTAATTTCTCAATATTTTTTCCGTTTCAAATGGAGAAAATAAACTGCTGGGAAGAACTTACGCATTGTCATTTATATTGTTCTCATATTTCCTGAAAAACACAAAGAATACTCTGTTCTGCTCTGTGCTGTTGCATTACAATCTCCGCCCAGGAGCAGAGTTGCCCCATTTTCAATGTCATCATTGGTGTCTGGTCATTGGTTTTTCACCCCTTCCTCCAGATGTCCTCCTTCCATTTTCGTTCTGCTTGGTCATTAACCTACTGCAAATGGCCAAATTTAGAAAAAAGCATCTGAGCATCCAGTGTTGTTACTCATTTTTGATCCGGACTTGCCATCACGCACGAGTTGACTAATCCATACAAGAAGTGCATTTTCAATTAGTACAACAAACACTGGCCATAAGAAATTAATTCTTGTGAAACAAATTGTCCTGTAGGAAATTTGAGATTCAATAGAGACATTGAAGTCAGAGAGACATCCAAGAAAGATAGAATCTATTTTATTACAAGCTCGACGATACATTGGACAAAAACATTATTATCATAGTTGGACAAAGGATTTNGAAACAAATTGTCCTGTAGGAAATTTGAGATTCAATAGAGACATTGAAGTCAGAGAGACATCCAAGAAAGATAGAATCTATTTTATTACAAGCTCGACGATACATTGGACAAAAACATTATTATCATAGTTGGACAAAGGATTTCATACTGTGCATTTCTTTGGAAATTTGCAGAATCAAAATTTATACCAAAAAAAAGGGATGAATTTCCTTCATGGTACGCCATATACTGAAGTACCTTATAGAACTGCTACAATATTTCCGGTGCTATTAATTCCCCAACCCTTTCAACTCTTGAATTAAATGAAATCCAATTAACCATATTCTTTTGTTCTACAGTACTGATCGTGTCGTATGCTGAGTACTTTTGGCCTCCACACCAGCGGAAATCATCTTCTCGTTACTTCCTATTCTTTTGCTTCACGTGATCGTGAATTTCCGCTTTCAAGCATAAATTATTCATTCGGCGGTGAAACGGGAATGAAGCAGTTCAAATGGAGGGAATAAAAATCCGCTCGAGCCGAGTTTTCATTTGAAAGCTTGTAGCATTATATAAAGTTTGACGGGTCTTTTCCCTATTCAAGGGGACAATTTCCACAAGATCTGCTGCTCATTCACGATGACTTATTGATGCTACCGTACTGTAGAGTACTTACGCGCAAATTGGAAAAATGTAATTGGACGGGGGTTCTGAAGAAATTTGATCCGCGATCGCGAGAGATTTTCGATTGCAGAAATCGAATTTTTCAAAGCGCATTCGTTCGCGTTGTTGATCCCTAATGTTCCACGTGTTTCTTTATTGGAATAACCAGTTCACAAAAACGTCTCGGGGATGCGGAAATGCCATACCATACGGATTACAAAGTGGGCTTATTCAAAGTTGGACATCGTCAGAGCCTGGGGGACAATAAGCTGGCCGATGCCAAGAACCAGAAACGATTCCGGCACAAACTAGAAAGTTTTCCTGCTGAGGTTCCCTTGTCAGAGAGTGGGAAACTGCGCTGTAGGCAGAAAAAGCTGAAACAAGATACTGGACGGCTCGAAGTAAGTCAGTTTATCCCATGTGAAATGAAAATGGCTGCATTTCTTTATTGCAGGCAAGCCTGTAAAGTGTACACCATATCCATCAGGAATGGAGTAAACACTTTTTGAACGCTTTTCAGCTGTGAAGCTCTTCCAATTCACGCTGTATCTGCAAAAAAAAATCTACACTTTTTCGACTATTAATATGAAGGTCACAGTTACGGACGTATAGGCTTTGCATAATCAAAAATGTGCAGAGAATTCCTGCGTATGTAATAATATGCACTCCTATGATTCAATGTCCACGAGGCCAAATTCTTTTCCTTTCACTCTGTATTAGACATAGGTTAGTCAACGTAAATTTTTCCCGTTTT